AAAGTCTTAGAAAGTCATTTGCATGGATCTCTGCTTTCAGGCAAGGGGCCTGCCCCCAAAACACTGTTTATTGATGGAATCTCCCAAGTGAAAAGATCCCTTAGTCTCTTCTAGAATCAGATTATCTAGCTTCAATCCCTCCTGTTTCAGCCATATTTCTAAAACACCAGAGCCAAGGAGCCGAAAGGCTGGTTGTTGCTCAGTACCCTTTCGTTTTTTTGGTCAAGTTACCATCCTGTTTTAACAGAGACCTGGCTTCTCTACTCCCTGGACGCTGGTGGTTTCTCTTTTGCTCTGAGTGTGCGTGCACATGTGTGTGTGCGTGCGTGTGTGCGTACACACGTGTATATCTGTGCGTTTCTTTCTCCATCCTCCAGATCTCCAGGTCCTGACGTGGCCTTCCTGACTTCCTGTCCCGACAAGAACAAAGTCCATTTCAACCCGACCGGCTCGGCCTTCTGCCCCGTCAGCCTGATGAAGCCCCTCTTCCCCAGCATGGGCTTCATCTTCCGAAACTGCCCCTCAAGCCCAGGGTCCCCTCTCCCTCCCACCAGCCCCAGGCCATCGCCTCGGAAGGATCCAGAGGCCGCCAAGGCCTCCTCGCTGCCGTTCGAGCCTTGGCAGCACACCCCGCCATCAGAGGAGCCCGTGCTCTTCCACAGCTCCCTGGTGGTCTGAGGGCACCCCCACCACCTTACCACGGAGACCAGTGCCTTGGTGGCAGGCCCCTCCCTAGCTCCCCTGAGGTGGGGGATAAAGGCGCCCTTCCCTCTCGGCCTTCGAGCACTTTCACTTATTGTGTCAAAGCCCTGGGTCCCCTCTCTGATGGACGCTGCCCCTCCTAGTGGGAGGGGACCTGCCTTCTCCACTAGCCGCTGGGCAGCTCACAAATCATACCTGTGTTCTTGCCACCTCCCTTACTCGGTGGAAAACTCACTCAGGGGGTCCCCTGCCCTTGGGTGTGAGTCCAAAGGACTGTATTTGGGGCCCTTGTCCTTGTCATGGAGCAAGCTGGCCTTGATCGGGGTAGAGGGGACACCACAGATTTCCTCCCTTCTCCTCCACAGACGTAGAAGAGGAGACGGGAAGATAGAGCCCCACGTCTTCTCAGCCTCCATCCCATGCTTCCCTCTCACTGGGGGAGCAGACCAAAGCAGCCCTCACGGGCCATAACACTTGACCAATCCAGCTGCTGGCAGAGAGGGGACCCTCGCGTTTTCCCAAGTGGCATTTTCATCTCGCTTTCATCCTGACTAAGATTGTCTTAAGCAGCAGCTCAACCTGCCCAGCCCCAGGTGGGTGGGGGAGGAAGGAAGAGCTGGCATTCCTCCAGGCGGCAGGTGGGGACTCTGTACCCTCCACCTGCCCCAGGACTGGGTTGGATTAGAAAAATGCCTATTTTTCTTGTATCGATGTAGAAACTCTATTTTCTCCCAAAGACACTATTTTTGCAGCTGTTTGAAGTTTGTATATTTTCCGTGCCGCAGAGCTTCACAAAACTGAAGAAGAATGTTAACGTTCAAGTTTTCTTATCCTGTGTTTAGAAGTTGTTTTTTGCAGATCTTGGTGTTAATAGACCAAATAAATAAGTATTCCCAGCAGTTAGAGGTTCTGTTCAATATTTGGGCGGGGGGTGGGGGGCGGGGGGGGCAGAGAAGATGGAAATTGAGGGTATTATATTGATTACTTCATCCTTGTCTTTAAGAGGAGCCTTAACACATAATGATGTCAATGAACAGAGTCCCTGTCCTCAAGCCACCAGGCATGGGTTCTTCACATGGAGGGTAAACAGTGGACCCACGGAAAGACCGTCCAGAACGAAGAGTGTGGTGGAGGTTTGGTGAGGGAGTCATCCTTTTCTGGAATGAGTCTGGAATGCTCCCTCGGGGGGAGTGGGTGTCGGAGAGGAAATTAGGGCGACCAGTGGAAGACAATCTGACGCCGTGGGTGCTCCTTGACTAGTAGAAGAAATTTCTTGTCCTGCTGCTGCCTCTCGGCTATTAATAGTGCCACACCTGTAAGGGCTCTTGGGCTTTTTGGGGAAATGGAAACAACCATCCCAACATTCTGATGGTGTTTTGCAATTTACAAAGCATTTTCACAAAAGACACTGATCCCCAAGGTATGGATGAAAAGTTGGCTACCCCAAGGGCAGTTGTAATAATTACAATTATATCTGCCTGAAAGACCTCAAGACAAACCCCTACCCCAACGTGGTAAACATCAGAGAAGGCTTGCATAAAAGGTCATTGATGCGCTTGCATAAGATATCATTTCAAGATTAAAACAACTCAATGAGAGAAATGTGATAAATCCCACTGTACTCCTGAGGGAAGGACAGAAAAGACTGACTACGTTCACCCCAAAGACAAAGGAAGATACAATGGCTGGGATTGGGAACCAGGTCATTTGAATCCAGGGCCCATGCTTCTAACCACAGCGCCGTCCCACTTGTTATGTCCCCATTCATTTCAGAGGAGGAAACGACTCGGGAGTCAAGGGGATCGTTTGAAATCCCAGCTGGTCAAGAGGCGGAGAAGGGAACGGGAACCCAGGCCTCTCCCAGCTGCTGCTCGGTGCCCTGCCATCACTGACCGATTCAGTGGACAGACAGTGCGAGGGCTCATGTATGGCGGTCTCTCCTCCCCCACTAACACGAAGGAGAGGACAGACCCCATCTCCTCTCTCCTTCCCCTCCTGCTGTAAGGTATTTGGCCTGTCCTCTAACGCCCCATTAGTCAGCCAGGCCTGGAGTGATGGGTGTGGTGCTGCCCGAGTTTCCTTCCTTTGCCCGAGGCTGTGCCAAAGGAGCCGGCTGCTAGGAGAGGAGCAGGCGCCTCACCCCAGGGAGCCCAGATGCAACGAAGTGGGGGTGGGGAGTGGGGAGTGGAAAGGCCGGGGGGTCCGTCTTGCCCTGGTTCTTGGGCCAGCAGGTGGGTGCCCCACACTGGGATAAGGGAGGGGTCCAACACAGAGCTCACTGATCGGGAGGAATCGGGAGGGTTTGCTCCATTGTTGGTAAGTTGTGAGACCCTAGAGCAGTGGTTCTCAACCTTCCTAATGCCGGGACCTTTTCATACAGCTCCTCATGTTGTGGTGACCCCCAATTCCATTGTTACAAATTGAACATCACTAAAGCATAGTGATTAATCACAAAAACAATATGTAATTATATATCTGTTTTCCGATGGTCTTAGGCGACCCCTGTGAAACGGTCATTCAAAGAGTAATGAATACCTTCGCACAGCACGCTTTACAATTTATAAAACGCTTTCACAAACCGCAGCTCCTTTGATCCTCACCAGAGCCGAGAGGTGACAGGGCGCTTTTAGGAATTACCCCGTTTACAGACAGAAAACTGTGGCACGAAATTGGGTGACAGACGCAGGTGGCCCTGCCTGTGGGTGAAGGAGAGGGGACAGAAGGCCTGCCCGCCTTGGTTTGCCGCAGGAGGAGGACCGCTGTCGGAAGCCAGGCCTTGCCCATCCCGGTAGAGGCGGGTAGGCGCTGGGCAGCGCTAGGGGGCGCTAACGCTCCACTAAGCAGTTCATGGCGTTAGGACCCAGCAGAAGCCGGCCGGCCGACCGGGAAAAAGACTATTAGATTTGCCCAGCCTCCCGCCACGCCTTCTCCCCGCCCACCTGTCAGTCTTTACACGGCGCAGCCAATCGGTGACCTCCACATCCTTCTACATCATCAGTCCACGCCCGCATAGCTTGTAGGTCGTCCCGTGGAGCTCGGGGTTGTAGTTGTCCTCAGAGTTGCCTGATTGGAAAAATCTCGAGGGCAAGGCATTCACCTCGGGGCAGCTGCCCCCCACTAGTCGTAGAGACGAAACCAAGATCCCAGGGTGCTTTTCCTTTCCTTGGAAGCGGTTTCTGGGTTCCGAGGCGTTTTCCCCTCGGCAGCCCTGAGCTGGCAGTTGTGGCGGTGGCTGTGGGGCCCTGCTGAGCGGCGGTCGCATGCAGCTCCTATGAGGCCCCTGTCGCCGGTCGGCGATGTCCGCCTGGAGCTG